TATCAGATCTCATCTGTTCCCAGAACCTATTTCTGGTCTTTTATTATTTATTCAGGCATTCTTTTTAGCAATGGAAGCAGATGGAAAGAGACGAGGAGATTCTCACTCATGACTCTGAGGAATCTGGGTATGGGCAAAAGGAGCATTGAGGACCGTGTACAAGAGGAAGCACAGTGTCTTGTGGAGGAACTGAGGAAAACCAATGGTAAGTGCAGGTTTATACATTTACATCTCAGTCAGGTATGTGTGTATGTCATGTTTTTATTGTTTTGTTATTCAGAAGCAATGATTATAAGTTTCATGTAAATTTTGTGTAGAGTTTCAGAACTAAGCATTTCCATTAGCGCAGAAGTAATTTGTCTTTGTGGTCATTCCATCACTGAAAAAGTGGTGTGTTAATGGTGACAGAGCCCAATCAGAGGATATTTGTTTACATTTTCTGGGATCACAGTATTCTGAGCAAATTAACTGAGCAGTACAGGGCTTCTTCTAGGGCCATGTTTACAGTGCTGGGTAACAATGAGGTTATTTATCGTTGCCTTTTCTTAGTTGAATGCAACAGAATTTTGATCAATGATAGTGTCTCCTATAGAGTGACATCAAATTATATGGGTATTTTCATAAAATTATTCACTACATTGAGAAAGTTACATAGTATGTTTTGATCATGATTCCTCACCAACTTCAGTCCCATGCAGTTTGCCAAGCTGTCAGTACATAGTCCATGAGCTCCCACTCCTTCAGGTCAGCTGTCTCTGTAGTTTTCCATTTCATGCTTGACCCCACTTACTCATATGTTCTCCTCCTCCCTCCTTCAGCTGACCTCTGGGAGTTCAGTCCAGTGGTTGTCTATGGATAACTGGATCTGCTTCCATCAGTTACTGGATGTAGGTTCTTTGATGACAATTTACAGTAGTCACTAATCTGATTAAAGGGCAAGTCCCGTTCACACACCCTCTACACTATTGCTAGAAGTCATAGCTGGTGTCATCTTTGTGGATTCCTGAGAATTTCTCTAGCATTAGATTTCTCCCTAACCCCATAATGGCTCCCTCAATCAAGATATCTCTTTCAAGATTGCTCTTATCTTCTGTCTCTCCCCCAACTCTTGTCTTCTTGATTCCTCATGTTCCCATCACCTATCTTCTATGAGCCTTTTCAGTCTACCCAGGAGATCTTAAGTATTTCCATTCCTGGGGCCCTCCATGTCTGTCCATCTTAGGGTCCCACTTTTTATCTAACTTCTCAGGGCTTCTGGATTGTAGCCTGGTTATCCTTGGCTTTGCATCTAATATCCACTTATGAGTGAGTACAAGCCAAGTTTGTCTCTCTATTTCTGGGTTATTTCATTCAGGATGTTTTTTCCTAATTCCACACATTTACCTGCAAATTTCAAGATGTCATTGTTTTTTACAGGTGAGTAATATTCCATTGTGTAAATATACAACATTTTCTTTATCCATTCTTTGGTTGAGGAGCATGTTGGATGTTTTCAGGTTCTGGCTGTTACAAATGATGCTGCTATAAGCAAAATTGTGCAAATGTCTTTGTGGTATGATTGTGCATCCTTTGGGTATACCACCCAAGAGTGGTATTGGTGAGTCTTGAGATAGTTCCTAATTTTCTGAGAAACTGCCATTCTGATTTCCAAAGTAGACTTACAAGTTTGCAATTCCCCAGAAAATGAGGAGTGTTCTCCTTACGCCACTGTCAAAATTGTTTTTAATTTTAGCAATTCTGATAGATGTAAGATGGTATCTTAGAGGTTTTTGGATTTGTGCTTCCCTAATGCAAAAAAATTATGATTAGTTCCTTAAATATCTTTCAACTATTTGAGTTTCCTCTGTTCAGAATTCTCTGGTTATATATGTAGCCGATTTTTATATTGGATTATTAGGTTTTTTGGTGCCTAGTTTCTTGAGTACATTGCATATTTTAGAGATCAGTCCTCTGTAAAATGTGGGCTTGGTTTAGATCTGTTCCCATTCTGTAAGCTGCTGTTGTGTCCTATAGACCGTGCCCTTTGCCTTACAGAAGCTTCTCAGCTTTGGTATGTCCCATTTATTGTTTGTTGGTCTCAGAGTCTGTGCTACTGCTGATTTATTTAGGGTGTAGTCACACGTGCCCATGCATTAAAGGATACTTTCCTCATTCTCTTTTGTCTGGTCAGTGTAATTGGATTTATGTTGACATCTTTGATTCACTTGGTCTTGAGTTTGGTGCATGACAACAGATATGATCCATTTGCATTCTTCTACAAATTGACATCCAGTTATCCCAGCACCATTTGTTGAAATTGTTTTCTTTTTTCCCTATTGTACAAATTTGGTTTCTTTGTAAAAAATCAGATTATTGTAGGTGTATGGATTAATTAGTCAGAGTCTTTGATACAATTCCACTGATCTACATGTCTGTTTCAATGCCAATCCCAAATTGATTTTTATTACTTATCTGTATAGTACAAATTGAAGTCAGGAATGCTGATGCCTCTGGAAGATTTTCTTGTACAGGATTGTTTTGGCTATCCTGGGTTTTTCATTTTTCCATATTAAGTTGAGTATTGTTCTTTTAAGGTCTGTGAAGAATTGTGTTGGAGTTTTAATGGGAATTGCATGAATATGTAGATTACTTTGTGTATGATTGCCTGTTTTACTATGTATATCCTAACTATCTAAGAGCATGGTAGATCTTTCCATTTTCTGATATCTTCTTCAATTTCTTTCTTCAAAGACTTGAAATTCTTATCATAAAGTTTTTCACTTGTTTGATTACTGTTACCTTACGATATTTTATGTTATTTGTGGCTATTTTAAATGGTGACACTTCTCTGAATTCTTTCTCTTCCCTTTTATCTTTTCATTATAGTAGGGCTACTGGTTTTTTTAGTTACTCTTGTATCCTGCCACATTACTGAATGCATTTATCAGCTGTAGAATTTTCCTGATAGAGTTTTTTAAGTCACTGAGGTATAATGCCATGTCATCTATAAATAATGGGATTTTGACTTCTTCCCTTTGAATTTCTATTCTCCTGATCTCCTTTTGTTGTCTTATTTCTCTAGCTAGAGCATTGAGTACTATACTGACTAGCTATGGAGAGAGTGGACATGCTTGACTTGTCCCGATTTTAGTGGGATTGCTTTGAGTTTCTCTACATTCAGTTTGATGTTAGCTATTGTCTTGCTGTACATTGCCTTTATTACATTTAATTGTGTTCCTTGAATGCATGACGTCTCCAAGACCTCTATGTTCCTTCACCTTTTGAAGCTTCTGAGTTTGTCATCATCTACTGTAAACTAAAGTTTCTCTGATGGTGGTTGAGACATTTCTTGTATGTCTGGCTTTCTTCTGGATTATGTTTGACTTACCAGGGGTTATACCCTTAAAGAAAACTGACTCAACTTCTTAGGAGAGTTAAGTAGTGCCTGTAGCTTCCTGACTTTTGTTGGGACTTTGCACCCACCTCCCCCTCCATACTGTGATTCTGTCTGCCTCAAGCTTACATGGGTCTTGTGAACATTGTCACAACTGCGGTAAGGTTACAGGTGCAGCCGTCTTGCTGTGTGCATGACCACTGTTTTCCTAGTAGTCACAAACCACCTCTGTGTTTTTCTGCTCACTCTTCCATAATGATCCCTAAAACTTATGAATAAACAGTGAGGTATAGATGTCCCATTTATGGCTAAGCATATGTCTTTTTGCTCTCTGCCTTGTGTGGCTGTGGTTCTGTGTTAATAATCATCTATAACATTAGGCCTTTCTCTGATGTGAACTGAGAGATGCATTAATCAAGAGTTATCATGAGATTATTTGGAGTTGATTTATACTGTGCCCATGTAACAGAGGAATAGTAGTAGATCCTTCCCCACGGTTGATTATATGTCTAGGCACAGAATCTTGGCCGATAATGATGTCAAGTAAGGCTTTATTTTATGGAACAGGTCTTAAAATGAAAATTAATGCTGTTTGTAACTTCCATGATGCTTATGCTACTATGGTACCAGTTGATATTCCTTGACAGGCAAATTGTTATTTTAACTTTCACAGTTTAGAGCTAGGTAATATTGATCATAACTTTTCTCTTCTAGTACCTACATAACACCTTCCAGCACTACCAGAGCTAGCCTTTATAAAAATTTTGAGAAATGTAAAATTAATAAATCTTCAAAAATGAACAGATAATGTCATAAAAATTGGATAGGAAGGAGGCTTAATGTGGTCGTGCATGATTTTTATACTACTACTCAGGAGTCAGAGACACATAGATATCTGTGAGATCAAGCCCAGCATCTTTACAAAAATTCCTCGACAAGCAAGCCTATGCTTTTCTCAAAAACAAAAGATTAAGAAAAAACTAATCAGGAATATATAAAATCAAGGCTGAATTAAATTAACGATGTATAAACTAACAAAAATGCAGAGAATCAATGAAGAGTTATTTCTTTGAAAAGATTAACCGGGGTAAAAAAACGTTCAGTAAATTCAACCAAAGCAAAGATATGCACCAAATGTCTAAAACTGCAGTTGAATTGGGATACATTTCAACACACTGTGTAGTTCTGGCTGTCATGGAACTTGCGCTGTATTTACCCTCAAATGCACTTATCTGTCACCGTAATGCTGGGATTAAAGGTGTGTGCCACTACTGCACTACTGAAATTCAGAAAATCTTAAAGATGAAGTAGAAAGTTCTATCCCACCAAACTGAAAAATCTGAAAGAAACAGATCTCTGTCTCTCTCTGTCTCTGTCTCTGTCTCTGTCTCTGTCTCTCTCTCTCTCTCTCTCTATTTCTCTCTGTCAATACTCAATATATATATATATATATATTTTTTTGTCCTGCCAAATTCAAGTCAAATTTCAATGTACAATTCATATAGACTCAAACATTCAATGATATGGGAGCTGTAATTAAAATCTCTTAACTACTATAGATGAGGACCATGAGGATTCAGGCATAATTCTACCAGAGCTTCAGAAAAGAACCAATGCCAATACTCCTTGAATTATTTACTAAAGGATAAAATGATGAAAGATTTCTAAAAACCTTTGTACAAGGTTGGTATTTCCCTGAAGCAAAACCAAGCAAAGCATAAAAGAAACAAAACAAGGGTTGAAGGAAAGAAAGGAAGAAGGAAGAAAAGAAGGATAGAATGGAAGAAAACTATAGGCTAACATCTCTGAAGAACATGGAGAAAATATTTTTC